GATTAAATCTAGATTAAAGACCCATCTCTTTAACCTGGCTTACACATAACACACTAACACATTTCTAATATTCAAATCTGTTAAAGGACTTTTAGGCTGCATTAATTAGGACAACCGGAACAGGGAACAGTTCTCATAACACCTGATGTACTTGCTACATCGTTAGAAGAATGGCATCTACACTAATTTTACTCTGTTTCTTCTTATTCCGAGGTCACCGTAGCCACCAGATCCAGTCTGTATCCAGATCAGATGGTCAATGCAGTCACCCGGATCCAGTAAGTATCCAGCCCAGATGGTGGATCAGCACCTAGAGATGACCTCGACAGCCCTGAATGTCAGCGGAGATCAAGACAGCTAGATGAGCCCCAGAGACAGATCTCCAGTGAGGAACTGCCTTTAACTGAAAATGGAGTGTTTACTATTGTCATTTTGCATGATTGACAACCTATTTTCCTATTTAATGCTGTAAAATTGCTTTGACACAATCTGTATCGTTAAAAGCGCTATATAAATAAAGGTGACTTGACTTGACAGTAATTTCACAGTAGCACTTCTCTATCTAACTGCACTCTCATAAATTTATTCTAAACAAACAGCATCATACTGTGTTTCTACAGTGCAGATGTACTCTGAAGGCACACAGCATGCAATGCAGCATGACTAGATCATGCTGAAGAGTTTTTTTTATTATTCTTGTTGGTTTTGTTTGTGCTATTGAACTTGTTTTAGTTCACTTTTAGCAGTAATGTTGGTTTATGTTGTAGTGTTGGTTTTATTTGTTGAGTGTTACCATTGTTGTGTTTTGTATGTCGAGGATTGATGACACATGTTTCAAAGACATTCACAGCAGTTGCTTCACTATTGTGAAAGATCCATCCACAAACAGTTATGAATAATAAATAATTTATTGATTAATCTTCATGCTTAAATAACGCTAAAATAAAATCTTCATGTTCATGCTAAGAATACTTTGACTAACTTAAAGTCAGGCAATTCGCTGTTTTCATTTTCAATGTTTTCATTTGTCACACTTCTGACATGACTAGATCAGAAATTTGAACATGAATATGCAAGGTCACCATTATGGTGACTTCAAAACAATTACAGCAGTAAACATCTACATTTCTCACAGTAACACAGTTAAAGACAACTTTATAACGTGAATTCACAATAAAACAACAGCAGTAAATTACTGTGAATGAAAGCAGTAAATTACATTCTGCTTTCGTTCACAGTCATTTGTAAGAAAATGACCAGCATATATTGATTTCACAGTAAATTTCTGACCACAGTAATGTATTGTAAAATAATACTCTTTAATTCTGTAAATTCCTGGCTATTTTTTTTACAGTGTATGAGGTCCTACCGGCCATGATTAAAGCATGTTCAAAGGCATTGTCTGGAGTCTGCATCCAGTAGATGCTTTGGGAATACATTGCCAGTAGACGGGACCCCAACAGGTATCTTAAGTCAGGTGCGTAGGGGAAATTCTACCACACAGTCTTTATTTAAATCCAGAACAGGTATGGGTGACTAATTAACAACCAAAGAAACTAACTAGAAAACTCAGGCAGGCAAAATGTAACAGAAAACTAAACCAAAACAGAATATATAATAATAATGTGACAACATGAGGACTTGGGATATATTCTATTTATGACAGTGTTTTATGACAAAAATACATAATACACATGACAAATGCTGGGGTAGTCGTGGCCTAATGGTTAGAGCCAAACTTGTAACCTAAAGGTCGCAGGTTTGAGTCTTAATACCGGCAGGAATTATAAGTGGGGAGAGTGAATGACCAGAGCTCTCTTCTACCTTTAATTCCCACAACTGAGGTGAGACCCTTGAGCAAGGCACCGAACACCCGACTGCTCCCCGGGCGCCGCAGCAAAAAAAATGGCTACCCACTGCTCCAGGTGTGTGTTTGTTCACTAATCACTGCTGTGTGTGTGCACTTGGATGGGTTAAATGCAGAGCACAAATTCCAAGTATGGGACGCTGTACTTGGTCACATTATCATCACTATTTAAATAAATAAACAATCTACATTTAGAATCCCACCATAAAATTTGTATTATATATTTTTCATTTTTTTTATTCAAAGTGACTTGCATTGCATTGAAGGTATACATCAGTTCAAGAGTTCCCAGAGAATTGAACCCATGATGTTTCTATCGCTTCACTCTACAGTTTGAGCTACTGGATTGCCAACATAAAAAGAACATAATTTTACAGAATTTATCCTATGGGAATGTATTAAGTGATCCATATAGTGGCATAAATATTATCAGAACATATTTAATCTCTTTTCTTGGGTGGGCAGGAGCTGCACAGAATGCCTCCTCCAAGGATCAGCAGCACAGCTGCAGCCCATCCGATATAGAGAGAGGCCCCCAACTCCCTCCATTGGGCAACTGAGAGAAGGGGATTGTAGAAATCATTGGTGATGGTGTTAGCTGACCAACAGACGGGGACGAGGACCAACACTCCAGCGACGATGAAGATCACACCACTGGCGATAGCCACCTTTGCCTTGCTGTCTTCCCTCTTGACAAAGTTTGTGCATTTTCCACCGGCAATCCCCAGGACGAGCGCAAAGAGGCAGATAATGATGGCGATGATCACAAGCACCCGAGCAGTCTGCAAGTCCTGAGGTAAAGCCAGGAGCGAGTCGTAGATTTTGCACTGCATCTGTCCTGTGCTCTGGACCACACAGTTCATCCACAAGCCCTCCCAGACGATCTGTGCTGTCACGAAGTTGGCTCCAAATAACACAGTCATCTTCCACATGGGAAGGGCACAAACAATAATCGCTCCCAAGAAACCAATAATGGCCAGGGACAGGCCTAGGATCTGTCGACACATATACACCATTTTTCTCTCGTTTGCTCGGCTTCATTGGTTTGCAAGTGTTTGCTCCTCTGTTAATTGTAGTAATGACTTCTGTTCCTCGCCTTCAGAGTTTTAAGATAGTCTCAGAAGGGAGGAGTCTAAGTCGGATCGGCCTGAAACCAGGTTAAGGAATTTTCAAGCCTGACCAGATTCCCCAGCAGGAAATGTTGATACAAGGAGAACCCCTAAGACACCCCAGCCAATGAATATGGATGCCCCAAGCTCCCTCTTTTGGGTCTCGATTGTGAGAATGCTCTGGAAATGTTGTAGGCTGAGGACCAGCAGACGGGAATGAGACAGACGACTCCAGATACAATGCACAGGATGCCTCCCAGGATCAGGACTTTGGCCATGGAGGACTCTTTCTTCAGACAGCTGCTGCACTGGCCTCCCAAAACATTAATAGCATCCTAACCATGCTGATCACTATTGCAATGATGGTCAGCACACATGCAGCTTACAAGTCTTGGGTCAGTTGCATGATTGAGTCTTGGACTAGACCATCTGGCCCGTGACAATGTTGGCACCGATGTACGAAGTGACGCGCCACATGGGAATGCCACAGCAGACACATATGCCAACAAAACCAATGGAGCACAGGATCTGGCCGGAAACCTCTTTAGCAATCCTCCCCATGTTTTAGCTGCTGGTGTTGTCAAACTCAAACGCAGCTGCTGGTCTGGTCTTAACCCATAGGTGTCTGAGAAACAAGCAGGAAGTGATGGCCTGTTTGATTTAGACACAGGCACTGGGAGGAGTTTTGCATATCTGTTTGGTTAATCCTGCTGAACAAGAATCCAAAGAAAGATTCTTCAGATATGCTGCTTGCTCAGTGCTTTCCATGAAGACACATTCAGATATGGTTTTGGCTGCATGAAACTGCTGTCTTGTCTTTCTTAACTGTGTCAAAGATAATGTCATTGACTTCATCCTTGTGAACAAAGATTTGAACATTCTCTCAGATGAGTGGAAACGGGTTTCAAGTTAATGAACACTGGTGTTTAACAAGATATGAAATTAAATCGATATCTGAAAGAGGTGAAATGCTGAATAAATGATAAATTATTCAGTACATTTGATTTATGTTACCAGATGCAGTAGCAGAAATGAAGTACATTTTAAAAAATTGCTTAATGTAGAAATATCTTGAGCTCAAGATGTTTCATAGTCAAGATAACAGAGTTTTTAGAATGTTTAGGCTTTATTTTAGGTTAGAATATTATAGTGCAAGACGTATTTTAAGTGCCTTCAAAGAACCTTAGAGTATTTATGGGCCCATTAATCATTACACAACATGCCTTGAGTTTTCATCACTGGAATTAGAATCTCAGTAATAATAAGCAGTTGCAACTCTTGAGTAATGACATAGAAATTCCAGTGAATGTGGAACATGTCACATAAACATCCTGTATATTAAAGAGGCTAATGGTCATATGCTAAGTAGTTGCACTGAGCCAAGAGAGAATGTTTTGATTACTAGGGATCAGATTTTGCCATAACATTTAAACCATGTGTCTTTTGTTATTTATTTATTTCACATATTTATTTATTCATGTATTCATTTATTTGTTTGTTTACTTATTTATTTATGTGTGAAATAATATTGGAAGTGTATTGTTGCCCAAGAGTTTTTAAACATGTATGAACTTGATAAATGCTTTAACTAATATCGTACATCACAGTTTGAGTCATACTTTATATACATCACAGTCATACTTTATTATTGTTTTATTGATGGCAAATTTGTAATGACAAAAATACATAATGCCCATGACAAATGAGAGAATAATAAAGAAGTATTATTGTACACCAGTGCTAGGTTTAAAATTAAGTACTTGTAACTAGAAATTACAAATTAAAATACTTGTAATCAGACTACAGTTACTTTTTTTATTGATTACGTGATTACATATTATTCACACAATAGCAATAAATTATTTACAATGTATTGATTCTCCCTAGTTCTACTACATCATCTTTTAAATTTACCTTTCTAAAATAGCCTAGCACTTATATACATTTAGAAACTAAAATACAGAAATACATTTCAGTTTTGTGGACATTCACACAAAGACCGGTCACTAGTCAGGTGGCTATAATTACACAGAAAACTGAGAAGCCACACAGCATTTGACCACCGGACTTACAAAAATCATTTCAGTTCTAAGAAGTGTTTTCTCAACATTTCAAGATTGCATCAACTACTGAAGAACACATGAATGTTTATTTGAATTCTCATTCAATGAGTTAACCATCTGTTACTATGTCTTTGGAAGGCTTTTGTCTGTAAAACACAATAAAATGCACAAAACCATGTTTTTTCTTATTTATATGTGGTTAGGTCAAAAGTAATCCGATTTGATCAGATTATATTACTAAATCAGATTATATTAACTAAAATGTGTAACGTAATGAATTATGTTACTAATTCCATTTTTTCATGTAATTTTGAATCAGTAATGGATTACAATTTTTAATCGACCCAGCACTGTTCTACACATTTTAAATAAATAAATAAATAAATAAACAATCTATATTTGTTTTCCCTCCATAAAAGCTGTAATATATACATGACTCTTTTATCCAAAGCGATTTGCTTTGCACTGAAGGTATACATCAAGCATCCACAGGGAATCAAACCCATGATGTTTCTAGCACTTCACTCTACTGTTTGAGCTAAAAAAAAAAAGAATATAATTTTATAGAATTTATCCAACGGAATGGAAGGTGCTAAATGACACACGTAGAGGCATAAATATTATCACAACATATTTAATCTCTATTTAGAAGATGTGTATTCATAATTCTTTATAATTGTGAAGAGGAAGAATGAAAATGTTATGCTATTACATGTAAAAAATGTCTAAAGTAACTCTACAGATAAATTGCTGACATACAGTGATGAATTAGATCAATCAGTCACTTGAGTGTGTATTTTAAGACCAGTTCTATGGGTTCTGCGTCTCAGACAAACTCTCTTGGAGCAGAACTGGACCTCACAGCGGAGAACTTGGGGTTGTAGATGCGCTCTTGCTTCGGTGGGCAGTTCCAGCAAAGTATTCCTCCTCCCAGTAAAAGCAACCCAGCAGATCCCCAGCCGATATACAGAGCTGCGCCCAACTCCCTCCGCTGGGCCTCCACCATCATCGGGTTGTAGAAGTTCTGTATGATCGTGTTGGCTGCCCACGACACTGGGATCAGACAGAGAAGTCCAGAGATAATTAGGAAAATGCCTGCAATGATGCACGCCTTTGCTTTGGACCCTTGATCCTCAATGCAGTTGGTGCACTTCCCACCAGCCAGAGAAATTACGATTCCACAGAGTCCAGTTAGAATGGAGATGATGATCATGGCCCGGCCCGCTTGAAGGTCAGAACTGAGCGCCAGCATGGAGTCGTAGACTTTACACTGCATTTGTCCAGTGCTCTGCACCACACAATTCATCCACATGCCCTCCCAGATGACCTGTGCTGTGACGATGTTGGCCCCAACGAATGCCGACACCTTCCACTGGGGCAAAGCGCACACGATAATGACCCCCAGCCAACCCAGCATGGCTGTGGATATGCCCATAATCTGGAGTCCTTGGGAGACCATTTTTAAACCACAGCCTTTACAGCGATACAATAGATGAAAAAGTGTGCAAACCAGAGACGTTTGTTATTTATAGGAAAGGTTTGAAAAGGTGGAGTTTGGTGGAGCTGATGATTTCTACGCAGAGCCCCTATGATTGCTCATTTACACTATAAACACAAAACTAAAGGTTTTCAGAAGCACAGCAATACTTCAAGGTCATCAGTAACAAATATCTTTTCAAAATGACCTTGCGCTTACGTAAAGGCACTGTGAAAAGATATTGTCTTTAGATGGGTGATTTATGGTTGGAAATATGTAATGTATGCTGTCTTCACATTTTTGTGATAGGTAGATGATAAGTGCAGAAAAGCCTAAAACACATTAAGAAACGTTCTCATCTATTTTGAAACCACACAAAAGGATCATTCAAATCTTTTTACTGATCAATTGTGATCTGGATTAACTGGAGAGAGCTTTCTGCTAGTGTTTCCATGATTGCATCATATAATAATTGCTGTTAATAGTGTTCATCGTCTGTTTTATTACGTCTTAAATTGATTTTTCCGTACATTTCTGCCATATGTACATTAATTGACAGTCACCACTGATAAGCTACCACTAAATATTGTAGAAACTTAATTTGCTGTAAAGTTGCTTTGCAATGATTTGTATCGTGAAAAGCGCTGTACAAATAAACTTGACTTGACTTGACTTGACTGATCAAATATTGACAACAATATAATGAAACATTATAATTATGTATTTATTTGTTATTGGTTAATGCATGTTGCATTGCTTGGATTTTTTTATATCACACAGTTTAAACTGTACATCAACAAGGACACATAATGGTGAATCATAAATATTCATCAACTCATCAAAATAATTATTTACATTTATTTTGATGAAATTTTGATGAAACAATATTTTACTTTTTTATGTTAGATACAGGGGCTTTACTGCAGTTATTTCAGTTTTTTTTTTTTTGAAAGTCACATTTCTGTGTAGATACATAGCTTATCGGCTACAAAATGCTATTGGACATTTCCACTGTTTATTCCCAGACAAAAACGTACTTTTCTTAAAACTCTTGGAACTTCACTACAGTAAAATCCTACACTTCTAAAATGTGAAACATAAAAAAAAAAAAAAAAAAGGAAAATGTATATTTGGGCCAGATTGCTGCCATCTGGTAAAAAAAAAAGTAAAATAGCATGATTTCGTGTTCAAGTAAAAATCATGTAATGACAATAATGGCCAGTAGATGGCTGAAGAATGGTTGTGACACCTCCCAGATACCTTTTTTATCATCTAATTATTTGAGAACCCAACCGTCTCTCTAAACAAAGACAGTACAAACTTAACTGTGTTTGTTCTATCTGTGTAATGAAGCACAAGAAACAATAATTTTGTGTGTTTTTAAATAATTTATTTGTTTGTAATGCATATAGTTGAAAGGTTTTGTAGCATAGCACAAATATCTGTCACAAAGCACATGATTAAATTTACATTTTGTATAAATCCTTAACACTAAGCATATCTGAAGAGGGAATCCACAGTGTGTGAATCCAGCAGGTAAAATTAAAAAGAGGTATTTACAGTTCCCACACAATTTTTGGCAGTAAAAATTCCATTCAGCTCTGTGACCTGAAACTTTCTTAGTATTTGACCATTACTATAAAATGTTGGCAGCTGACAGCTAATTCAACCAGAACATTCACATACGTGGTCAGTTGTAACACAAACAGGTCAAAATCTGACCAAGATACAAATTAAAGTCACTATTCACAGTGCTCCTTGGTTCTTCTTCATACATAGCCTTTGTTTCCTCCAGGCCGAGCTGTGTACTTAGCAGTGTACTGATCTTTAGGAGGGCAGTTTGCACAAAGCAACGACCCGCCAATAATCAACAGCGCCGAAGCAGCCCATCCAATAAACAACGAAGCTCCCAACTCTTTCTTCTGTGCGCTGACGGTCATAGGGTTGTAGAAGTCCCTTATAACTGTATTGGCCGTCCAGCAGAGGGGAATCAAACACAGAACTCCAGCCACGATGAAGATGGCTCCTGAAATGATGCCGACTTTGGCCTTGGCGCGCTCGTCCTCGATGCAGTTGGTGCATTTCCCTCCAGCAGCCGCTAGCAGGATTCCAAAGACACCCACCAGGATGGAGATGACAGTCAGGGCACGAGCCGCCTGTAGATCTGAGCCGAGAGCCAGCATGGAGTCATAGACCTTACACTGCATCTGTCCGGTGCTCTGCACCACACAACTCATCCAGATTCCTTCCCAGGTTATTTGCGCAGTGACTATATTCTGTCCAATGAAAGCCGTGACAAGCCACATAGGGAGAGCGCAAACCACGATCACCCCGATCCAGCCGATGATAGCCAGGGCTATGCCCAGCATCTGCAACCCTGCTGATACCATGCTAGCACGCTGCTTTGCTTGTGTGTAAAAGAACAGTCTTCGGTCTCTAGAGCTGCTTCAGTGAACATGGGAGTAAAGCGGGCCCTTTTATGCAAAGTGAAACAAGGAGGGGCCGCACGAATCACTCTCAGGTGCACCGTCACCATGATTTGCCCCCAGGCTGTGGTGTCATTAATCAAGCAAATCCCAGTGACAAACCTTAACTCGAATTGCATTTGGGTGGATTTGTTTTTGCTGAACGGGACATTTTATGAATCACAATTACATAGTTTTACATTAGCGTGACTCATGGTTCAACGACGAAAGTACACTTTTAAGAAAAACAGAGGATAGGAGTAATCCATAAATAAAGGCAGACACGAATATATTATACCGAAAATGGGTGTCCCAAGGCACGTGAAGGGTTTTGAAAGATGAAGTAACATAATTAACTAATGACAATACATTAAAATAAATAAATAAAGGGATAAATAGGGATTTACCCTGTAGTACACACACCCAAAATACACTGAGTATTGATTCACTGTCTTTTCTCCTTTTGCTAATTGCAGATAAAGCTTTAGCTTAGGAGGAGGATCCATTTTCATAATGGGTTTTTCTAAATTAGTCATTTCGAGCAAAGCATATCACATGCCACCCTCTCGCTAATACTTGTGTTACACACACACTTCTTCACTCTCACAAAAAGACAGTGAAAGCAGTTGCTTGAATATGACTGCAAACTTCCCTTCATACTTCATATTTTTCTAAACAGAAGCACTTCTGAAGAGACAAACGAGAGAAAAAAAAAACATGCAGTTGCTGACCTGGTTTCCAGTGTCCAGAAAAAGAGGTGCAATCTTTCCTAAAGCCACTGCAGCACTATATAGTTAAAAGAACTAAAAAAGTGTTCACTTTTCACCAAGGGTTTGCAGGCACATGGTGAAGGGATGAAAGTCAATCCCAGGTGTTTGCTGTGTAGAAAATAGAAAAAAAGAGGGACAGAGTAAGGGATACTGATTGTTTCTTAAATGAAAGAAGGCTCTGTTTGGTGGCCAGAAGGACAACAATGGCTCCATTTTACATGGCAGCTCATTAAAATCCCCTTGGCCAGGAAAAAGAGGATACGGTTCCACACACACACACACACACAGGTAAGGAATGTGTGCAATTATGGATTCGAGGAAAGATGGTCTGCCAAAGATTACCTTCTCAGATGGGTTATTCTGAATTCTTTAATAGAGGCTCTAGCAATATCAAACATTTCAATACATCATTAAATTTGAATACAAAGACAATCACAAATCATTTATAACTGATTAAACTGACATTAAAAGATTATGTAAAGCAGTCATAATCACATAATGTAGGGAATACAATGAATCACATTTTGCAGTCTGTTCGAACATTCAAGTGCATCGTAGTTCATTTAATTGGGTTTGTCCTATCATGTGTATCTGAACACATGAGTTAGAAGTTTCTACATGCGTAAGGCTTTCAAACTCAGTGAGGCTCTTGTTAAAGGGCTGGTTGACTGGTTTTTTTCTAGGCTTGATTGTGTTTATGGGGTGCAGTCTAACATGTGTTCATGCTTCGTTCATTTGCATACTGTACACATAGCCCAATAGAATTAAATCAAAAACAGTAAACATATGCAATGAAAATATATTTGCAGTGCACAATGTTTTAGCCTTGATAACAAAAGTGAATCTTTTCAATATAGATAGAGGCACTGGGAGTCATCCGAAACCAGTCTACAATATTAAATCTTTCCACTGTTTTTAGTCTCCATTGATTAGATTCTGGAAATTCTCGTCTCCAGTATAAATCTTTTTTGAACTGCTGTTACATAAAACCTGACCTGTGTGTAGTGGAATAACTAATTATATCTTTAATTGGTGTCATTTAATTTTGTGACGGAATCAAATGTGCTCTGTAGCCCAAAACGTTTCATAAAGGTTCCATGATCCTGAGATCTGGAAAGTCATTTGACTTAATGAATTCAAAATTGAATGTTCTTAGCAGTGTGAATGGAGCATTGTCATTTTGGAAAAAGGTTTGCACCATATGTAACTGTGAAATTGTTTATATTTCTTGACCATTTCCTGACTATATTTCTTATGTAACCATACAGATGCACCCCAGGAAGACTGAATGGCGGTCAGTATTGGATCACATCACTATGGCTTGATCAGTAGATTGCTCAGTAAATAATGAAGGGATCTGAATATATTCTAAATATAAACCACTAAATATGCACCACTGATCTTTGTTTTAAATTATTTCCAAGTGACAGAATATATATATATATATATATATATCAGTTAATGATTGTTGTAACTTTGCAATAATTAATCATGCAAAGAAAAAAATCTATGGTTTTGCAACCAAACAGTTGAATTCTATAGCAGTTTACTGGGGTCTTGTCTCATATGTGCTAATTGTCAGAGCTTGTATTTTGTTTTCATTCCCCTATCAGCACTGTGGTTGGAAATAAAAAAAAAAGGTCATTTTAGTATGCTTTTTTTTTAATCTAAATTTGAGCTACTCTGAAAAGTGCTTCTCCTCTGATCCCTCGCATGACCTCTATCTAAAGTGCCATTTATTTGAGTTTTTTCTCTTTCCCTGCCAGCATTTTTTTTAAGTTGTCAGCCACTGCCAGCATTTTTTTTTAGCATTTTCAAAAAACTTTCATGGCCCCCAGAATATTTTGTTGTATGTATATCTGAACATGCAATATGTCAAAAGAAACAACAGAGCCTCTGCTTTTAAATTACAAACAGAAAAAAACCCTGTTTTATTCTAGGTTCATGCATTATTTTCTTATCAACACTTAAATGTGGGCCAGTTTTATAAAAAAATTGAACAAAAAGCTGAGAAAATCGTGTTTTTGTCAAAGACTATGTCCGCACCGGATTCAGAATAATGATCAAAACATAGATGGAGTCCATCAACACCCTCAAAGCTTCATAGTCCTAAACCACTTCCTGAGTCGACATTTCCCTTGTAATGTCAGGCAGTTTTGATTTATATGCTGTTTAATGTTTGATGATCACAATATTTTACATATGCATCTGCTTACATATGCGATTGTTTGTTCCCCCTAAAAATATCATTAAAAACCACGATGTGTGTTGTAAAAAATATAATGATATATACTTAAAGTTATACTTACTGTAAGTAGTAAAACAATACAAATGCAAATGGGGCAAAAAACAAAAAACAAAACAAAACTGTGTTTTAAGTTTAGAAACATTTTAAGTCCTCCTCCCTTGCCTCACAGTGCTTTGGTCCACTACCTGCTTTCCCCCTTTACCTCACCAACACACAGAAAGTGGGTGAAAACAAAGTTCTTCAGTAGTTGTGGAACTCCAGTAAGGAGGCTGTCAAGGCTATTTTATTCACTTTAAACATGAAATATGATGAAATGATTCTTTTCTCTTTAATACAGATGATGAGTTATTAATAAATTAGTCATGATAAAAAAAAATGATAACCGATGTATTTTTCCATGAGTCTGCTATGTTAGCTATTTGTTTGGTAGCGTATAGCTTGTTAGTCACCGACTACAACTAATACGGTGATAAACTTATGTTGATATTAGGCTAATAACACATTAGAAAAGAAAACACATATACGACTTTTCTCTCAATAAACTCCTAATTTGCTACTTATTAATAGTTAGTAAGGTAGTTGTTAAGGTTAGATATGGGGTAGGTTTAAGGGATCTAAAATATGGTCATGCTGAATAAGGCATTGATATGTGCTTTATAAATACTAATAAACAGCCAAAATGCTAGTAATATGCATGCTAATAAGCAAATAGTTAATAGCGAGAATAAGTCCTTCAAATAAAGTGCTACCGGCTAATATCGTAGATCTACCATTGTCTTGTCATGCTCAAAATGATGATAAGTGGCAGAACAAACTATGCCACTGAACAAAGTCAGCCTATTAATTCTATGAAGTATGCTAATAATGTATGTTTCCATGCAAACATATGGAAAATGTAAGTGTGTTAGAAGCACACTTTACATACAGTATGGATACTCCCGAGATCCCGTTGGATTATGTGTCTTACTCCTGAAAACAAAGAGAGGAATTGTCTCTTCTCAAAAAGGAGTGATTCAGCAGATTTTCTCAAGGACACATGAGACACTAGATTTTAATGTGGGACAACATGTATACTTTTATATGATGCCATGGCAGGAAGGCGCTTGAAAGATCAACCGGACTGAAATCTGAACCATATAATTACTGGGGCTGAACAAGTAAAGAAGACAGAAATGTTAGCTCTTTTTAATGCATTGTTTTTAGTTGTTTATAATCTTCCTTCTTAGGATAACAATCAAAATGATTTCAAACACTTTTTTCATGCATGCAACACGCTGCTATTCTTCCTCATTGTCGCATTTGATTCAAAATAAAAATAATACCTAATACGTTCCAGATATGAAGCATTTGAGTGGATCATTTTAATAATGCCATCCCGTTACAAGAAAAGTGCTACAAAAAGCCCCAGTCTCTCTTGTACCACACAAACCACGATGCCATCTAAGACTCCACCTTCCATCTTCTCTTAGCAGTATAAAGAAGGTAGAAACCATATCTCTCTCTCTCCCTCCCTCTCCTTCTCTCTCTCTCTCTCCCTTTCTCTCTTTCACCATTTCTTCATTTAAGCAAATCCTCAAGTCTCTAATATCAGAGCTAATCTTCAGAGCTGAGTCCTGGATCCTGAGCACCACAGTCTGTGAAACAGAACAGAACAGCGAAGCGCGATGGCTTCCGCCGGCCTGGAGATCCTGGGGATGATCCTGACCGTGGCCGGGTGGCTCGGCGTGATGGTAGCCTGCTGTTTGCCCATGTGGAGAGTAGCGGCGTACATAGGCCAGAACATCGTCATCACGCAGATCGTGTGGGAAGGTTTGTGGATGAGCTGCGTGGTGCAAAGCACAGGACAGATGCACTGCCGAGTCTACGACTCCATGCTGGGGCTTCCCGACGACCTGCAGGCTTCCCGGGCTCTCACCGTTGTAAGTACCCTGCTCGGTGTGGTAGGCATGGCTCTGG